TTTTTTTCTCAATGTATATAACATTTCTCAATGGATATAAATATCCACACTGATTCTATATGTTTTAAAACAGGAGGTTTTTAATGCATGGCTGCCAATGGCACCATTTACTGTGAGGTTGCCAATAAGAAAGTATTGTGAGAGTTGTCAACAAGGTCATTTACTGTAAGAGTTGCATAAGAACATAAGAACATAAGAAAGAAGGAACACTGCAACAGGCCTACTGACCCAAGAGGAGCAGGTCCATGTTTTACCCCCCGGATTAGACCAATGACCCACCCCCCGGATTATCCCAATGATCCACCCAGCCTGGTCATCTCCACTCAAGGATGGAGCACTGCACCAGACCCAGCAGCACAAGCTAGTCAGGTCCAACTCACACCCACCCACAACCACTCATGTATTTATCTAACCTATTTTTAAAACTACACAACGTTTTAGCCTCAATAACTGTACTTGGGAGTTTGTTCCACTCATCCACAACTCTATTACCAAACCAGTGCTTTCCTATATCCTTCCTGAATCTGAATTTTTCCAACTTGAAACCATTGCTGCGAGTCCTGTCTTGGCTGGAAATTTTCAGCACGCTATTTACATCCCCTTTATTTATTCCTGTTTTCCATTTATACACCTCGATCATATCCCCCCTAATTCTACGCCTTTCGAGAGAGTGCAGATTCAGGGCCCTCAGTCTATCCTCATAGGGAAGATTTCTGATACATGGGATCAACTTTGTCATCCTCCTTTGTACGTTTTCCAGAGCATTTATATCCATTCTGTAATACGGTGACCAGAACTGAGCAGCATAGTCTAAATGAGGCCTAACCAAGGATATATAGAGTTGAAGAACAACCTGAGGACTTCTATTATTTATACTTCTAGATATGAACCCAAGAATTCTGTTAGCTTTATTGCGAACACTAATGCACTGTTGTCTTGGTTTTAGATTACTGCTAACCAGAACTCCAAAATCCTTTTCGCAATCAGTAGTATTAAGATCTACATTATTTAGTTTATATGTGGCATGGTTATTTAACTGTCCAACATTTAGAACTTTGCATTTGTCAATATTAAACTGCATCTGCCACTTTTCCGACCATTGCGTCAGTCTATTCAAATCATCCTGGAGTGCTCTAATGTCTTCATTAGAATGAACTGGACTGCCTATTTTGGTGCCCATCAGCAAATTTGCTTATTTTCGCTATTTATTCCCTCATCTATGTCGTTTATGTAAATTGTGAACAACGACGGGCCCAACACTGACCCCTGAGGAACACCGCTTGTGACGTTGGCCCCATTCTGATTTTTTCTCCCCATTTACGCAAACTCTCTGCCGTCTATTTGTCAGTTATGCCTCTACCCAGGAAAAAATTTCTCCTCCTATTCCGTGTTCCCTAAGTTTCCTCAAATAGCCTCTGGTGTGGAACTCAAATCGAAAGCCTTACTGAAGTCCATATACACAATATCATATTCAATACCAAATGATCTACCTCCTCAAACACCTTAGTGAAAAAGTTAGTAAATTCGTTAAAACAGGAAACAACCCTTTGTAAAAAAGGTTGAGATTCATTAATCAATCTGTGCCTGTCAAATGGCTACGAATTGCTTCTGCAATTATTGATTCCATAAATTTTCCCACATGGAGGTAAGGCTTATTGATCTATAGTTTCGAAGCCAAGGACCTGTCACCTGCCTTGTAAATAGGTATTACATTTGCCATTTTCCACTTATCAGGCACTAGCCAGTTTGTAGTGAACATGTTAAAAAGATTAGCCAAAGGTATGCTAAGTTCCTCTTTTCATTCCTTTAACACCCTTGCAAACAGTTCATCAGGGCCTGGGGATTTGTTAGGTTTTAGTTTCTCTATTTGTCTGAGGACCATGTCACTAGTTACCGCAATCGTACATAGTTTATTATCATCCTGTTCTACATAATCTATTATTTCAGGAATATCGCTAGTATTTTCCTGGGTGAAAACTGAGAGGAAGTAGGTATTTAGAATTTCACACATATTCTTATCACTGTCAGTGATCTGACCAGAGTTACTCTTAAGTGGGCCAATCTTGTCCCTAATCTTACTTCTGTATACCTGAAAAAACCCTTTGAATCCCTTGCGACCTTAGCTTCATAATCCCTTTTTGCTTTTCTTATTCCTTTTTTTATTTCTCTCTTTAATTGAATATATTGATTTCTTAACTGCCCATCCGTTCTTTTGATACGCCTATATATGCCTCTCTTTTGACCAATGAGATGTTTTAATCTATTGTTCATCCATTTGGGATTATTTTTGTTAGATCTAATTTCCCTACTCGGAACAAAAGTTGTCTGGGCAGCTAGAACTATGTTCTGAAAAACGTCATATTGGCAACCAAGATCACCTACCTGACCCATAGTCAGGACATCCCAATTTAGCCCACCCAAGTAATTTTTCAGTACCATGATGTTGGCCAAGCGAAAATCTGGGACAGAGATTTGATTGCAGTTATCTGGGTAATTCCATGATATATTGAAACTAAGTGATTTGTGATCACTTTCCCCAAGCTCACCATTAACCTCAAGATTATTAATTAGTGAATCTTTGTTGGCAAGAACCAAGTCAAGCAGATTGTTTCCTCTAGTTGGTTCTGTCACAAACTGATCTAAAAAACAATCCTGAACCGTATCAAGAAAGTCACTAGACTCAAGATTTCCTGTCATATTGTTCCAATCAATTTGTC